TCGTAGCTCAGCTGGTAGAGCGTGCGCTATACAAAAGCGTACGCGGCGTCCATGCGTGGGCTCGAATCCCATCGAGGCTGATCCATTAGAAAACCAGTACCGCCTCGTGCCACAAAACGGCGGAAAATTCTGTCCCCATCGATTAGATACGTGAAACCTGTGTGCACCGCGAACCTCTACACAAACAAGATCTATAAATAAAAAGACGTGGCGAATAATGCACTAATCATACTGATCTTCGTTCACAAGAAACGCACCGTGTATGTATGAGACAATTACCAGCAGAAGATAACCCCGAACAAAATCAGGATTAGTTGCTGGTAGAAAATTCCTACAGGTTCATCGAAAACCTAAATGGTGCTGTGAAACAGCTTGTGTTAGTAACTAGTACGTCATGAGACAGGCACATTAATGGGTATATTGAAATCGGTGGTAAACATGAGAACCTGGTGGAATATGCATACGGAAGATGGTCACAGCGTTCCACAATTATCCTGGCCTCGAACGAAGGAAACGGACGGACCAAGATTCGAATTCATCAAGTCCTGCATGGCCAAAAGACACTCAATGTGGCAGTTTCCGAAACTAGCTGTTCGACATCTCCCGTCCTCGTTCCATTTCTATGCAGGAACTTGAAACGTGACTTGTTAACTTGTTGCCTTATCCTCATTTATCAACTGAACTTATCACTACTATATCAACATTGATCGTTTTACATACCCGATGAAAGAAAGAAAACTGTTCACAATACAGTCAGTTATGTTGCGGAAAAACAAGGTTTGTTCATTAGAAATTTCATTTCACCGTCCTCCTCATTTGTCTATATATATTCCACCCTCCAACTAGACAATCTGAAAGAATAAACGACCATTGAGTTGGACAATGACTCGTGATCCACTGGAAAGATTACACTGATCATCTGAACCAATGAAATAAGGAAACAAACCATTGTATCACTGGATTTGGATTGTCCCAAGGTGACCCAAACAAATTTTCTAGTAAATTGTGACCAAAGGTGATAAAAAGCTCACAGTAGAAACACACTACTTAAGGCCAGGAAATAGCTACTCCTTTTAGAAGAAAGACCAATGTTGCCGACATAAGGTGCAGAGAGGTGGACTGTACAGGAGGAGAATAAATATACATTATCGATGTTCGAACAATGCCGTGTTCGGTGTATTGCACGATTTTGGTGGGAAACAAACGGTTAAGCAATGTCAACGTTAGGCGCAGTTTGAGATAGTAACGGTCGCGCACTAACGAAGGTGCTTGACCTTCGTACTTTGCAGTGATTCTTGTGGACAAAAAACTGTGCACAAATATTGATACGGTAGTATACTAAAAGCAAAGCATATCATATACAACCAGCAAAATAAGGGTGCTAGCTTTCTCCCACTACGTACGCGATTTGCCTCATTAATGTGGATCGGGCTACTTTCCTATCGTATGCTAGTTCGANTATCATAATCATCATCAGTGGGTCATAACATATTTGGCGACGGTGTTCACCGTTCAGCTGACCAAACTCGGGGATGAAACAAAGTTTCGCCTGCTCTTCCAGAAATCTGATTCGGCGGAGCATACTCGGTAACGTAATTTTTCATCCACCACGCAAACGCTTGCTAAAACTTCCGACAACTTTCTCTTCCACTTCAATTCTCAATGTCCACAAGTTGTCAAGCGGGAATCAGATTACTTTGTACAATACGCCGGGACCGTTCGCCGCGCTTGTGCACAACTTCAATTTGGTCGCTGATTAAGGACCAGTTCCGTTTTATGGTTTTCGTCAGTGGTCTCCAGCCTCCGGTCAGTTGCATAGAGTAGCATCAGTACAGCCATGGAACAAAATAACCAAAATAGGTGATATCATAAATAAGATACGCGATGTTCAACAATTACGATACATTCTGTCGGGTAAATAGTTTGATCGTTCCGAATACACAATTCCTGAAGCCGGTGAGATGAAACGCTTGGTGGAAAATGGAGAGGACATCGTGAAAGATACGATGCAAGCACTTACGTTCAACAAGTGCTGCACAGTACACTGAATGACCACACTCCTTGTCCACTGCAATACCATTTTTTCCCGGAGTTTCACTGTCCAGGGATGTATCACCGGCTTGCGGTTCGGTTACGAAATTCGTGCCCGTCTGTGAAACTCGGTTGATCGCAGTGCCTGGAGGAGATGGGCTACGACCCAACTGGGGCAACGAATTCGGATCTAACAGATCCGGTCCACCTGCGACAAATGGAGTAGCCTTGGAAGCACGTGACCGTTTTTCGTTGCGAGTTCGACGACTCTCGTGGCATTCAGTGGTTTGAGTATCTTGAACTGTTTTCGGGCGCGAGCTGACGATCCCATTGGTCAAAGTGGTCATCAGTTGCGGTGCCGTGGGAGCAGTGACCGCGGCAGCTAATTCAGATGAAACAATGACAAGAAACAGAAGGGTCATTAGGAGCGATAACGATATACTGTTACGAATACCAGAGGTCAGTGAACTAGAAGATATCATTTCTATGAAATCCGAAGAAAACCTTGGGCCAGAAGATTACACAGAAAAAAGTAATTCAATTATGCATGCCGACAAGACCTTCAAACGGGTAAGCAATTAAAAAGGGAACATAATGAATTCGTCGTGTATCTGAGGTATGAGCTGAAAAGCTGCGAAGCACTGGACAGCTGTTTCGATCTGGCTGGATCTCATCGGTAGTGCGAATCCATCGACCCAACAGGGGTCGAACTTAGGGCCTCATGTGTAGGACGCAAGCATGTTGTCCACTGGGCCCCCGGGCAGCTGATTAGACGGTTTCTCAGTTTGAATATACAGCTGTGCGATCCCCAGTGAGGTCAATGGATTCGGACTGCTGATGAAACCTAACTAGATCGAAACAGCTTTCCAGCTCACAAATCACGACGAATTCATCATATAAACAAACCAAACCCTTCATTAGTCTCATACAAAAGGAAAATAGCAAAGAAATAAATGGGACTCATGCAAACAGTAGGAGCCTACATTCTTCAGCTGTTCCGTCAATGGAGTTTGAGGTGGTGCTGGATCCGGTAGATGACGATCCACCCCAGGTGGCCAAAGTTGTTCTATCCTGACTGGTGGCCACCGATGCAGCACCACCACCTGAAAGCATGGCTTTCCCGGTTGCTGACAGGACGGCAGCGATGCCGGCAACGGGGACATTCCCTCCAACACTTCGATTGCCTCGTTGTTCCTCCAGCCGTATTCGAGCCTCGCGCATGTTCTCGTAAAGACGTTCAGTGTTGTCATTGATACAGGTACCTTCCGGTTGCTGTTACGAAAATGTAAGCAAGCATCGAGTGACTGATTCCACAAAATGATAGAGGTACACGAGATCATGTAAGCCTATTTGTTGCTATGATATAATCACTGGAACAGCTGGATAAACACGAATAATACCAAAAAGGGAAAATACTCCACTAATGGAAATTGCATGAATGGTATTCTGATACGTATAGCTTTCAGACACTTCAATAAATCAAAAAACCTTACAAACATACTGATTCACTGTTATGAAAAAATGCCTTCGTTCTAGATACCATTACAGGCAATAATATATCCGAACATGTGACTACAGGTTACGAGAGAACTCTCATAATCATTGGGTGCATCAAGAAATGCTACTAGATGGCAAGCACCAAGATTATTCCTTGTCAAGAATAAGTATTAGACTTGTTGTTTACTCGAAGCTGTAGTTGCCCCCAAAACAGATAACCGGGAGTGTATTACACTTCGTATTAAAACTTCTTTCAGCGATATGAAGAAACAGAGCACCATGCGGGGTTTTATGTGTGGTTCGAAATGCTGACTTCCAAGGATAGGTCGATGACAATGCATTGAGCCTTGGGTGCACTTTGTTTCAACAATGGGATTCGTCTGAACTCGCGAATTGAAATTTGACTTTCGTACATCGCTATCTTTAAACTAATCCCCTTAATGGTCCCTAGTTTGATCAAGACTAAACTCTCTACCATTCCTACAACCACTTCTAGTCCTCAAAAGTTGGTGATTGTGCACTCAATGGTTTCTATCCTTCTCGACCCGTTAGTTAAACCTCACCAGTCGATGGATTCAGACTGCGATGTGAAAACCTTGATAAAAAATGCGGTCGTGTATAGGTCCCATTAGGAGCCTTGGATGGGAACCTCGGAATCAGCGTGATCGATAGTGAGAGATAATGAATGATATGGTCCAGTGTCGCTAACAATGGTGCTCGTTTGTTTACCCACTATCCCGGCAATCTTAGTGTACCTGAACTTTCGATTTTCACCTTGAAACCGTTCAATCCCTTCATGCAAATGGGCAACCAAGAGACAGCAAGCAAATCCTGCGCACGAAAGTGCATGAACTGAAATCATTAATTCTGCATCATGTATTACTCTCCAAATGGTGACATCTCTTCACTTTTCGTTATAATATTGACCAACAACGAGGAAACCATGGGGCCAGACTTTGAATCCAAGTGCAATGTTTGTCCGTAAAAGGGAGTAGATGTCACAGAATGCACAGGTATATCGCTCGTTGGACACAAACATTCATCACACACTTCAGCTGGTTGACACACGTCCGCACACCCTGACCGTGTTGCTGATCATGCCCCTATCCTGGATTTTGTCCATACATCCTATTCACACTTCTGTTTCAACATAATTTCATACCTTGCTTTCGTAACGTCTGACCACTGAGTTACTTTGCCCCAGGCCAACTTTGTCCTTTGCGCTTCTAACTACCATTCTACCGTTCCAAGTACGCACATCAACGCCACAACTCTGCAAGCTGACATAACTTTTTGCTGGTTCTATTTCCCAGACAGAAAGACATTTCTACTTTGGTCTCCAGATTCTCCGAATTTCTTTTTGCAAGATATCATCACTGTTCAGCAAAATACGGTGAAGCGGACTTTACTGATCGCTGTTAGACTTTCAGTTCAGATTGAACAACCAGTAACCATGCGCTTTTGTGCGCCGATCTTGGTCGCTGTCCTTTGGTTGCCCATTTGGATGAACAATAGGAGAAAGCCAGGAAGGTTAGAAGTGGAATCCAAGAGAAAATTGGGCATTTCGGTGGACCAATGTTGCAAAGAAATTGAGAAGATGCACGAACGTCACTGTTTACGACACTTAGCCATATCACTTAGTGTTTCTAACCATCGGTGAACATGATCTCGGGGTCCCCAGCCAGGGAGCCTAACGGGGGCCTATGTGACCCAGACTCCTGGTTCGGGTTTTCATACCATTATGTCAGGTCTTAGCTGGACCACCCTTGGCTTAACTCCAATCAATACCTGACTCGGCAAACATCGCTCTCCGTGGCAACCCATTTGGCGACATGCGTAACACGCCCCAACCAACGTAGTCTATAGAGGTCAACTACTTGCTCCAGTGGGCTGCTAAACTAAAAAAAAGCATACACACAAAGTAATCAGGAATGTGTAAGGTGGACGGAGAATGGAGCTGTTCAGAGGAAAAGGAAGATAGGAGGAAGCTCTATGATCAACAGGGAGTATGCAGTCTGACTGCGCGTACATAAAGACACACTTTCGAGTATCCTGGTCTGCAAAGAACTGACAGCAGGACCTACACAGCTGTCAGTTCGCTGTCATGTTTTTTAGCATTTTCAGTCAACCAGTTACAGTTGTCTGAACTACAATCGAGAAGGACAGCTGAATTGCCCGTAAAAGCGCTCCGCACAGCGATCACGTTACTATCCTTTATTGTGAATGACCTACTTGTTACTATCGTAGGTGGTTTTGGTGAACGAGATCTGACGACTTCCGGTGTTTCGGATCAATTACAACAGCCCATGAGGCAACGTCTACTTCGGATTCACCACCTAATCCAGCCCACCAATTTTCACGACCTTTTTCTGAATTGATGTCATAAACGCCACCCGTTTATATGCAAATCATCATCATCATCAGGACTCAGTTCGGCTTCTACAACTATGAACGACGCACCTTCGTGCGATAGTTTTGGGTGCTGTCTTTTGACTTGGATGAAAGAGAATAGTGAAAATTAGAACATTCAAAGCAACGTGAAGGTGGAAATACAGAATTTTGGCAGACTAAGGTTACGAAGAGATTGAGATGTACGAGGGCCACTATTTACGACACCCAGCCACGTCACTCAATATCTCCAACCAGAGAGCGTAATGCGGTCCAGTCTCCTGCTCCAGGTTTCCATACCATCACACCAGATCGAATTTTTATCAGGTCTACTCATTGCCCATAGAGCTAATATCTTGGACGAACTTCGGACTCGGATCCACAAGCCGAATGCATTAACAGTTAAGCTGATTTCACTATTGATCGATCGAGCAACGCCACAGTTTTCCTAACTACTGTTTAAGCTGTCCCTCAGAGCGGAGTAACACAACTGATTTAAGCGGACGACGATGGACCAACCGAGACCGCAATCTCCAAATCTGCCCTATATTTCGAAGCCTAAAGCACATCCGAACTGGCGTATGATCATAATCAACAAAGGTGATCCAACAGAATATAGCAAATTGTACTGAGTCACACCAACGGGGGCTTCCTGCTCAGTGGTCAACTTCGGTCAGCTTACCCATTGATTTGAAGCACCGCATTACCCTCCATCAATGGGTGAATAGGAAGTTGCTACCATAAGGGAAAACCGGCAGTCTGTGCAGAATTGAAACAGTCGATCAAAGTAATCTGGGCAGGTAGAGCAAAACAACCCCATAAAAGGGCTTCGGATGAGACCAGCTTTCCAAGTTATGCGTTAAAACACCTAGCGCACAACTCAGCCCTGTAGTTATCGGGACTGTAGATGGCAAATGTGCTGAACAAATACCTTTTAGTGTTGTCTTCGTATCAAATACTGACCGATACATGGGACCGCATTGAACATAAACGACTGTTGACGGCAACCCTACCTGTCAATGGGGCCTCAGCTTTTTTGTTCCCTGCAATACCTAAGCCTTGGTGACCAAGTGAGCGAGCTTCCTGGCCTACTGATGTGTGAAGGAAATAACTGGATACAGACATAGGTGGTTTATTACTACTCCGATCCTGAGCTCATGTATCCGATAAACAGGAAATCAAATGCTAGGGGGCAGATTGTACGCGCAACATAAACGTGTTAGTCCTCACCTCGAGGGCCACCAGATTCCGCGGTTCATGGAGCTTCCTAATCAATTCACAGTAATAGTGGTACAGTGATTACAAGGTTATTAACCGACGGACTGGGTCGAGTGACGAGCTAGTAATTTGAATGGATGGAGGTAAAGAACCGGAACGGGAGGGTTTGGGTGATGTAAGACGAAGAATTTGATTGAGATGTCCGGACAGCAGCCCACCTGGCCTGGATTAAGTATACGTTTCGCACGTGTGAGGGACACAGTGAGAGTAGCACAAAGAAAAATTACCTGAAACGTAACAGTATCCAGTTTGGTTGGAGTTTGTGTATCTGACCGTGGTGCTTCGCTTCCAGCAGTTTCGTTTTCATTGCCAAGTGAGTCTATGAAGTGAGCTTTCACCGAGCTATTTGATGGTGGCGGAGACGGACGATGAGAACGCGTATGACGACCACTACGCGAACCGCCTTTCACCACACATGACTTGGGAATTTCAACCTCCGGTGGAGCCTGATCATCCAACTGTAGTGCGGCCATTCGCTCCTCAGCTTTACGGAACAATTCCAATTGTGCTTTGAGTTGAACCAGCTCACGTTTTTTCGCCTCCAAATGTGCGAGCATGATCGGCTCGAGATCTGGTTCCGGAGAAGAGGCATGCGAGGACCTGAAAGAAGTAAGCGGGATGGAGGATCCCAACAAGTAGTAAGAAACCAACTAAATGCAGGAAAATTCACGATTATATGAATTCTTGTAATTGGTTAGGAACGATGGGTTTGCTTAAAACCAATTTAGAGATGACTGAATGGCTTACAAGAAAGACTAGTATGCATATCAATGGGGGTTTATTCCGCCACCAGCCAGATGTAGTTAGTCCAGATGAAACGAAACATCACTCATGACATTGGCTTCCACATGGCGACCAAAAACTATTGATCAAAGGATTTGGTGAGTGTTATAAAACCATAGGAGATATGTTCTCTTGAAATGAAACAGTGGGGAAAATGTTTTGTGTATCTGGTGTGAACTAAATCTACGTCCAGTTTGTCATTTTTATATCGTCAATATTCCAATCCCTCTTTGTACGACTGAGGAAGCCCTGCTCATAGCCTTTTTCCACCAAGGCAAGAAGACAAACAACCAGCATCCAGGGACATAATCGGGTTGGTGAAATACTGGCAGCTGACCTTTGGGGAGTTGGCTAAAAACCCGATTCCAAACCAACTAAGGGGCGGACGAAACACACACCTTCCTGATTGTGGCATAGAGGTGTATTGGGCACTTGGATGTTTGAACCCGTCCAAAGGACATATGATCCAATAAACTGGACACCAACCTTCCATGGATTGCGGTTTTCCCCCACACCACCCAGCTGCCTTGCGGGTCAGACTTTGGCTAGCCGAAGGTTCCGGTTGTGAACTCCCTAAGAAATCCCACTTGCCTTGGAATAGGTATCCTGGCAGTATTCCACACACATACAGATCACGAAACTTGTTTTTTAATAAAAAAATATTGTACCGTGATTTATTTGACAGTTTGGTGTCAGCCGTGTGTAAAATATAATAAAATATATACGGTTGAAACCGTACGTCTGTGGGTGGAAAACATTTGTTCAATGGAGGTTTTCAATCATCCAGTTTGTGCGGCTCGGTATACGCGACTTTTCAACTTAAGTGCAGCTTCACGTCGTCGCCACAGGTGCGTAGACTGTTCGAGACCGAAATGCGAGTCCTTATCTCCTTTGATGAGCTACTGTCACGCAGCTTCAGCTAATTCCAGATCGTCCAATTTCATAAAGGGACTCGGCAATACCCAGTCTTGCAGCATCAGTACGAAAAACTGCTGAGAATTAAGGCATATTTGAACTCCCTTATCTACTGTGCTGAGGGCTCAAAGACCGCGTTTAATTCGAGGGTTCCTAAATAAACATTTCTTTAGGACTTCACAAGCATTTTTTAAAACAGACGGGTTGCTGAACTCAGCGTTGCATCCTTCATTAATTGATGGCGCAGCTGTAGCCGAGTCGTTTTGATCCACACTCACTCTTTTGAACTCTAGGATCCCCGTTTTTTCAGATAAGCAGGTTCAACCATTCTTTCTTCGCTTTTATAGGTGTTTAGTCCAAAACAGGTGGCTGGACCTACGTCTAACGGACTTGACAGACATTCCAAGAGGGTTGCAATATCGTCACCAAATATGGTTCTGATTTTCTTGATGCAGTCGATTAGAAACCCAGTATCACTATCATTGATAATGAACAAAATTTCATCCATCCAGTTCCCCTCAGGAATCTCATAAAAGCGAGAACAAGTATCATCGTAGACATTGTAAATTTACAGTTGTTCAGTGATAATGATTGCTTCCGCTCTTAGTGTAGACAAAATTGATTGGTTGATTAGAACGGACTATCCTTCAGGCCTCAACCTCACACATTACTCAGTTCTTCTAGTCAACCATACACTCGGAAGCACTAGACTCCAGTTTCGCTCCTATTAGAGCTCATCAGCAGTGTATATTCGTCCGGGATTTGAACTACACAACCATCGCATAGATAAAATTGTTTTAACCAGACTCGTTCCGCCTAAGAACCGCATATTCTTGAGGGCAATTCCATTTGCTGACTTCAGTGGCTCANCGTACGGGAGGGAGGGGTAGTTCGTCGTGTACAGAGCGTGAAAAGCAAGGAAGCACTGTTCAGCTGTTTCGACCTGGTTCGGTTTTGTTCTTATTCTGCGCACCTCCAAGCAAGTTCACTCATTGTACATCTCAAATGTTAGCATTCGTTTTGTACATCACTTGAGCAATCAGCGCATTTAGTTCTACTGTATTTCGCTGCTGCTGCTGCTAATGAAAACGCTTGACTCGGACAGACACGAAATATATGCTTGCCGAAAGCAAATCCGTGAATTACAAATGCGCTTGAGATACAAAAAAATTAATCACAATAAATTCAGCGACTCACCCTGCTGCTCCATTGGTTCCCTCGTTCTCTTTCGGTTCTGCCTCACCAGCCGAGACTGCATCGGCATGTTGACTGGCAGCGTCTGCGGCTGAAAAAGAACACATTACTCACTTAGCGAACATTGTGAAAATTCGAAAGTATTCACGTGTGTGTGCAGTCTTAATTCGAGCTTGAGGAGCGAATCATACGATATTAAAGAACAATACTAGGGAATTTAATGTCTAGTATGATGTTTATTATCACCAAAAGTGAAGAAAAACAACTGTAACACAATCCCCGAGATTGACCAGTAATTATATATATATATATATATATATATAGTACGATTTCTCTTAATTCACCACGTGCACTGATGCCACCAGAGAAACACCAAGTCCTAACAGAAATACAGTTCATAGGAAGTAGTCGGGCAAAAACGGGTTCTCGAAAAAAACGGAGAAATGGGCGTACGCGCCCAAAGATGACAGTAGATCGATTGTGATATTTTATAATCCTACCATATGAAGTCACTGTATCATTCAGGTGTATAGAAGATACCCAACCCAAACACAGATACAGCAAATGAACACACCATCCTCGATGCGTTGGCGCTCTTTAATGGCTTTGTTCAAAGAATCATCAAATATAATGTTCTGGTTATTGCCTATAGCAGGTCCTAAGGAAAACTACAAAACAAAAGCTCTAATCGAATAGCGGAAGTAATGCAGTAGTTCAATGGGGGAAGCAAACGAAGAGAAGCATGGAAAACTACTGTGCATGACACTTGGTGATAAGGCCTGGTGGATTCAGGCAATGGCAAAAACCGGAATTTCCTGGCTCAAGCCACAAAATTCAAGCGGATTTATTCGGTCTCCTCTTTCAGGTTATAGACTGGCTGCAGTACACGCTCCCCTAGCACTCCTCACTGAGAATGGCTATCTGAGGACACGGATGACTCCCATTTATTCCACTTTGTGAATGTTAGTCAATAGTCTTTCCACACCTTCTAGGCCTCAAAACAATGGTCGGCCTGAAACAGCAAACACTTGACCTTTGGCCTATGGACGAATATCGTGTCGAAGGCAAAGACAACACAGAGGGGAAACACTCTCAGTGTATGTGAGCGAGACTTCCAGAAGATCAATACATAAACCCTAATACTCGTGCATTTGCCTGGGCTCAATCCCCCTCCCATCCAAAAAAAAAACATGTCTAACTAAAATAATCGTTTTCACTGTCGATTAGATCATGACTGGAGATGGCCAAATCACAGCTGGTTTAGAACAACTCATTTCTGTTGCACAGCATCTAGTTGAGATTGAGTTGAATTTCCTTACATAATACCCAGTTATTCGTAAGTCCGGGTTGGGAACTGAACATGCTGTTAACCCCGGGGTTACAAACTACCATAAGCACATAGAATTCGCCAATATTAAGCAAAAAAATCCAAAGGCAATGGTGTATGGTTTGTATACTTTTTTAACCCAGAGGGCAAAATGCACATCAATTCCGGAATGCAATTTGATTCCGTTTTTCGATTTGTACAACCAAATTGAGCAAAGAACCAAGAGTAGCCTAATGAAAAAATAACAACGCGCAGTGGGAACAATCGATAAACAAACGACATGGTATCACAATCCCGGAGATTCTCATAGATTAAACTGGTAGTGTAGGCGTACTGAGTCTTGACGAAACAAGATCACAAAATGTGATGAAGTGAGCACGGTACCAGAATACATTCGATCAAAGTTTAGAAAAAATCAGCTCATTTAATGTGATCCACTCGATACGGAAACACCCAAACCATACATTTACTTTGCAAATCAGCAATTAGCTGGGTACGTCTAGTTTCATAGAAAGCATATATTTAACACTTGCAATGGCGAACAATCTAATGCCTGACCAGAAAGTGAAACTGAAACGCAAACAAATGGCAGGGCTTTACCTCAAGGGACACAACTAGATTCATCGAAAAGTAAGTGATTTAACAATCACTGGATAAGAAGCACAGCTTTCGAGTTTAGGAAATGAGAGACTACACCGTGAGCTTCCATCAGCAGATATACGGGAACGGCAATGTGGACAAAATAAACTAAGGTCGTGCTATTGAACTAATCTACACTAAACGACTTGAGGAAAAAACCACACAAATAGTCTTGACGGAAAGATAAAGACACAGGTGAGAGAACTCAGCCCAAACTACTACGAGTTGGAGGCAAGGATCGATCACTGCAATCGAAACGATGAGTAAAGACAAATAAAGCAATCCACGTACCAGCTTTAAGCTTGCTCAATCTCGCTGCCAGCTCATCCCGCTGACGCAACAGTCGAGCAATTTCTTCCCGCTCTGAGGCGGTTTTACCTTGCAAAGCGGTTAAATAAGCTCTCTGTGCTTCCAACGTGCCACTGGAACTTAACCCAGACAAATCCGGCTTGGCAGGATTTTCCGAATCTGAAAAAGGTAGTGCAATGCGCGTGGAGGGGGGAGACACAGTGAGGTGAGTGATTGAAATAAACGTCTTAAAATCTTAGCGCATTATGGTCAAAGCAGCAACGTGATGCAATGCTTCTATTTTTTATATCTCACATCCATAGGCAAGCGAATTCAGGAAGGACATACCTCAGACGTAATTAGCGGCGATGAGCAAGCGGTACAATTTACCGCTACATTGCCCGTATTACCCTCTGTTCGAGTTTCACCACAACCACCAACAACAAAAACAGCCTCCCTACTTCCGATCTGCTTTTCAGGAGCCACAGTCCTAATCCCGAAAATCGACAATACTCTTGTATATACACGAGATGAAAAAATCGATACAGTGTTATTATCACGAGAAGAGGAGATAACCAGAAACGAACGTGCGAGAAGCACCGTCGGTAAGCCGAATTTGAGCACACCTGACTACATGAGATCGTTTGGCCACACCAATCCGATGTATATAGCCCCTATTCATAAAGTGATACAGGTGAGTTGCTGAGATTCAGAATGTGCCTCTCGGGAACTCCGCTTGTTTTCAATACTCATTGTTATTCACGTATCGGTTTGAAACAGGTAAGGTGTTCACACTGTGCAAGTACAAGGACATAGTTAGAAACACAGTACGGTGATATTTGCCTCCAAGAGCTTCGGCATAAGCAGTGAAGGGCGCCTTTGGTTGTGACTAGTTACATCTCGCAAAGTACGATCAAGTATTTCACATAGCCCCAAACACTGCCCCCCAGGTGGTGTTTAGTGTTTGCCAACCAAAGTGATGGAGCGAAAAGCCAACATCCAGGGCCACCATCGAGCCGATAAACTAATGCCAGTTCACATAAGGAAGTTGCCGAAAACCTTGATTTAAAACCAATCAAGAAGAGGTGCGCGGGGCCTGTGACTTTGGCCGTGCCTTGTTATCATGGAATATTATTTCCTAAAGTTGCAGTGGAGGAACGTGCGGTCATCACTTTTGAATCAACTCGTTATATTCCCAAGATCCAATGTTGTCCTTCAACGCCAGATTTTTGAAATCCTTGCATTTTATCACGCAAAAACATCCGTTTATGATTTTTGCCCATTCTGTGAGAAATCGCTTCAAACGACTGCAAAAATCTGTTCAAGGACACCACAAAAAACACCGTACTGGCTGGTGTGTGGCACTCAGGCGGCGTTCCGTTGATAATTTGACCGTTCCGTCTATTATCTCATGTAACATTCGTTCGCTTATGAGAAAACTCGATGATGTCATGATATTCCCGGAATATAACAGCGACACACATTGAACGAAAAACGCAGTTTAGCGAGAAAGCTTTTTCGGTGACTCATCAACTGGCTAATACGTCACATTTTATATCACATCATTTTGCATAGGAAAGAGGAAACAAAACTAATGATTATTCAAATGGGAATTGCTGTTATTGTTTTCTGTCATGATACACCAGAAGGAATGCAAGAATGTAGGGGTAATTCTACTCCAGGAAAGTTGGCCACATCCTGATATTGAGGACAACGTCGTGCATCTTGATGGATTTGACATATTCCGAGTCGATCGCAATGTGAACTTCCTACACGAGGGTAGTGGAGTGGTCACATTCATCAACAGGAAATGGTCCAAAAACGCTCGAAAATGTTTTCAATTTGATACTTTCAAGATAAATTGTATTTTTGTTTATTGTAAGTCCCGATTTCTTGGTCATTTTCATCACATTACATTAGCGAACATTTACATCGCGCCCGACACGTCTGCTTCTGATATTCGTCTGTTTGTTGACTCCTTCTCCTCACAACTTGAAACAGATTTAGACCATTCTTTATGAATTGCTGCTGGTGATTTAAATCGTTTTAATATCTCTTTCCTTACAACTTTAGGCTTGACGAATCTTGTAAATTTTCCTAGCCGGCTTGGTGTCCAACTTGACGAGACTTTTGTAAATAGCCCCGAAATCCTTTTCATTGAGAAGCGGGCTCCCTTAGGTAGCTGTGATCACTGCTCTATTTTTGCACCCTAAGATTTACGGTAAATATTTTCGGTACCATTTGAACCGTACCCCATCCAGAAACACTAGAAGAAGTCGCACTCCTGAAAACTTATCCAAACTTAGATATATGGTTTCAT